GGAGGAGAAGGAGGACGTGTAAACCCAAGAGTCATCAACGATTTTGGGATAAACACTCCCTCCAAACTCCCTCTTCATAGGCTCCTACGACGGTTCATGTCCATTGAGTGAACTGCCTCGTCGGAAGACAACCGTTTGAAGACCCTGAAGCATGCCAAAACATTGTTCTCGGAATTTCAACGCCACGGATCAACCTGGCTGTTGTGTCTTGACCATCCTGAATCGCGCCAGAACGCCATTCCTGGGACTTCAGCACCGCGAATCAACGTAACTGTGGCACCCGCATGCTCCGGAATCCTTCCCAAACGCCATTCCTGGTACGTTGATCATGGGAATCTCTTGTCAATCTTACAACGAATGTGCGTGGCGCTAAGGCGAGAGCCACATGTTGAAAAGGACCCGCCTTCAATATGTGAAACTCTTGCGCATTTTTTAAACGAGTGCACGCGGCGCTAAGGCGAGAGCCACATTTTGAAAACGACCAGCCCTCCATGTGTGAAGCTGTTGTCAGTCTTCAAGCTTCAGAGTCCTCAAGGGTGAAGAAGTCTCAGGCGAAACGCCCTGCCCGCCCTCAAAACTGGCCTCGGGGTGTGACAGGGAGAAGCTTTTTTTATAAGGACAAGGAATGGTGGAGGAGGAGGAGGAGGAGGAGGAGCAGGAGGAGGAGCAGGAGGAGCAGGAGCAGCAAGAGGATGAGCAGGAGCAGCAAGAGGAGGAGGAAGAGGAAGAGGAAGAGGAAGAGGAGGAGGAGGAGGAGGAGGAGGAGGAGGAGGAGGAGGAGGAGGAGGAGGAGGAGGGAGGAGGAGGAGGAGAGGAGGAGGAGGGGGAGGAGGAGGGAAGGAGGCAGGGGGCGAGGCAGGAGGACGAGAAGGGAGGGAGGAGTAGGAGGAGAAGGGAGGAGGAGGAGGAGGAGGAGGAGGAGGAGGAGGAGGAGGAGGAGGAGGAGGAGGAGGAGGAGGAGGAGGGAGGAAGGGGAGGAGGGAGCAGGAGCGAGGCAGGATGAGAGAGGAGGGAGGGAGGAGCAGGAGGAGGAGGGGGCAGCAGCAGGAGGAGGAGGAGGCGGGCAGGGATGCGAGGACGACCGCAGGGGCAGGCGCCGACGCGGCCGTGGGCGGGCTCGGGTGCGCGAGACTCTCCAGACTTGCCGGGCGGCGCGCGCGGCGCGCGCGCGGCGTCGAGGAGGAGCAGCGCGCGCGCGCTCCGCGCCCAGCGGGGCAGGGGCCGCCTCCTCGCCCTCCTCGCCCTCCTCCGCGCCCCTCGTCGCCGTCGCCTCGGCCCTTGCCCTCCCCACCCTGGGTCCTCCTCGCCCTCCTCGCGCGCATTTCTCGCCCTCCTCGGCCTCCCCTGGGCCCCTCGTCGTCGTCGCCTCCTCGCGCTCCTTGCCTGTGTGCTCCTCCTCCTCCTCCTCCTCCTCCTCCTCCTCCTCCTCCTCATTCTCATCATTCTCGTCCTCCTCCTCCTCCTCATCCTCATCCTCATCCTCATCCTCATCCTCCTTGTCTTTGTCGGCGCCGCCAGCGGCTCCGCCAGGCACCGCCCCACCTCCGCCCCGCCCCAACTCGAGCCTGAGCATGTTCAGCGGTCGTCTTTGGATGGGCAGCTACTGTGAACCAAAACCCACACTGTGTGCTCGACGCTTAGGCGAGGTGCGCCACGCGTGCCAGGCGCGCCACGCGCACCAGACACCCCTGGGGCCCGAGCGTGCCAGGCACGCCTGGTGCGCCAGATGAGCCACGTGCTCCGCGTGCGCCAGGTGTGCCACATGCTCCAGCCGCACCAACTGCGCCACGTCCGGGGCGCGTGCAGAGTGTGTCAGGTGCGCCTGCGCACTTGACATCACACAAACATGTCGGCACCCACCATCCTTGTGGAAAACCGATGCCCATCATTTTGTCTGGTGGGCCTGCGCACAGCAGGCCATACGCCACCACCCCCGCCGTCCCTGTCAGAAACCACTTGACAGTGATCGCGGGGTGGCCGCGCACGATCCAGATTTAGCCGCGAGGTGCATTTTGTAGTGTTTTTGTTAGGGATGGTAGCCGTGCGCACAGCAGTCAATATGCTGACCCCCCGGCTGTCTCTTTCAAAAACTACACAAAGTGTTCGCGGGCCTCACGGACATGACTCAAGACTTTGCCCCGAAGTGTATTTTGTATGTTTTGACAGGGACCGTGGGGGGGCGCATCGGGTTGGCCGCGCATGCTCCCCATGTCGAGGCAGAGTGCGTTTTGTATTGTTTTTTTGACGGGGATGGTGGGTGTGTGTGAGCTTGGTGTCCTCATTGTTCCTGGTTGGCTGCTGGGAGGGGGTGTATATTATTAGGGAACATTTATAAACCTTTTCCCCGAACAGGGGAGGGAGGGATTTTGGGCAGAGAGAAGACAAAACTCGTTAAACCACCTGCGCCCAGAGGACTGGTGGGATTTGGGATCCAGGCCCCTTCAATACCCTGAGTAGTCAGGCTTAAGGCATTAGGCAAAGGACCTGAGGACACGCCCACTCCGTGGCCAGCGGCACGGTGGCGGATATACGAGGCGTATTTCCAGAAACATATGCCTGCATAATCACATATAAATCGAGTATTGCTCACGGTGCGACTTACGATGCGACTTGCAATTATCATCTTCGGGTACGCCGATTCCAAAGACATGGTAACACTCGCACCCTCACCGTGGCGATCACTGATCCTAGCCTGTCACGGTGAGGCATTGCCGTCGTTTTGAGATGTACGTGCATTGTTTCGGTGGTTTGCTTTTGTTATGTATGTATGTATGTATATATATATATACTTAGGCTATCAAGTTTCATGGCCATTTTTGCCATTGTGGCATCACGCAATGGTGGTCGACGAGAAGCTCGTACACAATTTGGTGGAACAGTGGAAGACCCTCCGAGGTGAGCAGGTAGCGATCGTGAGCGCAACGGCTTCTTGCACTTATGAGCGTCTGAGCATCGACGCGCAGCTGCTCAGCGCACACCTGTGCGACATTGGCCTCGGCGGAGGGGACTTTGTTGCTGTTTGTCTGTCGCGGTGCGTAGCCGTCGTGGTGGTCTTCCTGGGTGTGCTGAAGTCTGGCGCGGCCTTCCTGCCACTGGACCCGGCCTACCCGCGGGAGAGGCTGCGTTTCATGTTGAGCGATTCTGGAGCTGCAGCTCTGGTAACGCACCCAGGCGACACCGACGTGGCTCATTATTAGGGGGCCACGTGCGAACCCTACCCCTACCCCCCACGATTTCTGAGGGGAGGGTGGGGTTCACTTCGCTCGGGAGCTCCCGAGCGAAGTGAACCCCACCCTCCCCCTCAGAAATCGTGGGGGGTAGGGGTAGGGTTCGCATGTGGCCCCCTAATTATTTGAAAGATGATTCTGGCGTCGACATCGCGCTGATACAGGTGGACACGAACGGCTGTTTCGAGCCGGTGATGTCTGGCCGGAAGTGGGGGAGCAGTCAGCTGGAGCCGCAGAAGTCTCCAGCGGCGTACATCATCTACACCAGCGGAAGCACAGGCCGACCCAAAGGTGTCGTCGTGACGCATCAGAGTTGGCGGAACGTGCTGCTGGCTTTTCTAGACCTGCTCAAGGAGCATCTGATAGAAACTGCCACGTTCGCCGCCGCCACAACCTATTGCTTTGATATTGCCCTCCTCGAACTCTTTCTTCCACTTGCGGCTGGCTGCCGACTGCAGCTCTTGCCAGCCGACGTCGCGCGCGAGGGCTCGGCTCTCCGAGCGGCGCTGGAAGCTGGCGGCGCGTCGATCTTCCAGGCGACGCCCTCGTCTTTTCAGATCTTGTGCGCGGCGGGCTGGTCTCCAAGACCAGAGATGGCACTACTCTGTGGCGGAGAGGCCTTCCCTCCAGCCCTGAGCACCCTCAGTGCACAGTGCGCCATGCTCCTCAACGTGTACGGCCCCACCGAGACCACGATCTGGTCCACGGCTCATCGGGTCACGCGGCCGACTCGCGCAGGTCCTGTCTCCATCGGCGGCCCCCTGCGCAACACGCACCTCTACCTGCGCAGCCAGACCGGGGACCTCCAGCCCATTGCCGAGGTCAGGCTCGCGGACGAGGATGCACAGGAGCTGGTCATCGGCGGTGCCGGGGTAAGCCTCGGATACTGGAACCGGCCCGAGCTCACGGCGGAGCGATTTCCCCCGAGACGGCGGGGAGCAAAGGCGGGAGGCCGCGTGTTCCGGACGGGAGACCTCGTCCGCGTGGGTGGATCGGGAGAGCTGTGGTGCTCGGTGGCAGCGTTAGGGAGGGGGACAGGCTCAGGGGGGGCGCATCGACCCACGACCGCCCATCGGTCGCGGACAGGGGCCCGATGGCCCAGCCCAGCTCAGGACTGAGATTTCGGCATCGGGGGCTTGTTTGTCATTTGTCATCGGTGTGTCGCCGAGTCCGGGTCGGTGTTTCCCCCCCCGCCCCCTGAGGCGCCCCCCCTAGCTTTGCGTCACAGGTGCCTCGGTCGGATGGATCAGCAGGTCAAACTGCACGGCTTCCGCCTCGAGCTCGGCGAGATCGAGTCGATCTTATGCGAGTTCGACGCCGTGGAGCAGGCGGCGGCAGGTATCCATCTCAACTCCAAGCAGCAGCCTGTGCTGGTTGCTTACGTGGTCTGGAAGTCTGGACGGGGCCCTCGCAGCAGCGAGCTCATTGCGTTCCTGGAGCAGCGGCTTCCGGCGCACATGATGCCGCAGCTGTATGTCCCGCTGCAGGCCCTGCCGAGAACGCTGAACGGCAAGCTGCAGCGCTCGTCTCTGCCGAGCCCGTTCCTGGACGACGCTCTGGTGCGGCCGCCCGCGGATCAGGAGGCGGGCGGATCCGGCGAGCGCGACCCACCGCGGGCATCGGCCGAGGGCGCCGCGCGAGGCTGGCCGCCCAGCGGCGAGGCTCTCCGCGGCCTGGTCCTCGAGGTCGTGGCGGGCGTCCTGGCCGGCAGCCCGAGGGCGATCGTGGCGGGGCTCGGAGGGTCCGACGCGGAGGAGTGGCGGCACCTCGGGCTCACCTCGGCAAGTCGGCGGCGTGCGGAGGGGGGGGCGAAACGGGGGGGCCCGTTCTCCACCACCACCACCAGAAGTAGGGGGAGGGGTGCTCCTCCTCCTCCTCCTCCTCCTCCTCCTCCTCCTCTTCCTCCTCCTCCTCCTCTTCCTCCTCCTCCTCCACCTCCTTCCCCCCTCCAACTGATGGTGGTGGTGGAGGTGGTGGTGGTGGTGGAAAACAGGCCCATCAGAAGCGAGAGGGAGAAGGCCTTCTCGGAAGGCGGCGGGGCTTCTCAGAAGCCCCCTGCGCCCTCGGGGAAGGTTTCTGTGTCTTCGGGGGAGGCTTGGAAAACTTCTCGGGAGGCTGGGGGGCTTCCGTCGAAGAAGATAACGCCGTAAACATACCTTTTTGGCGCTCCTCGCGGACTTCTTGGATCCACTCTGGGCCCCCCCTGGCGGCGCCTCCGGCGCCACCCCTGGCGCGCTCCGCGCGCCAGGAGGGGGGTCCAGCACAGATCCAAGACATCCGCGCGGAGCGTCAAACAATTATGTTTATGTCGACCACCTACCCTGGCACGTCGATTAAGGAATTGGCCGTTCTCGGTTCGCGAGAGGGCGTTGCGGCCGTCATTTTTGCGGGTCCAGGCCAGGAACGTCGGTTTCGGTCCCAGGCCGTTTTCCTCAAGGGAAGGTTTACTAAAGGGAGGTTTGCCCACCGCCGAATACAGTCGGCCCGGATTAGTAGGTCGACCCTGCCAGCTCAAGGGTACCCTTGTGTCTTGTGCCTCGCGCCACGTACCTTCGTGCACTCCCATGGCGATGTGGCCTTCGGAAGGGTCTCTTTTGTCCTCTCGCGTGTCCTGTCCAAAGTTCAGTCCGACTGTAGGGCGCTTTTCCTTCCTCTACTCCGAGCCTCCTGGGAGGGCCTCGCCTCCTCCCTCTCGCTGCCCCCTCCCCCCGCCGCTCGCCGCCGCGCCGTGGCCGTCTCGTTCAGCGCCGCCCTGGCGGCCAGGCTCCGGGCCCGGTGGCCCGGCAGGCCGGAGGCCCTGCCTCGGTCGCAAGTCGTGAGAGCCTGGTGTGTATCGCTCGGGCTCTTCCGGTACCCAGACATCGGGCGTCTCGAAAAAATCGAGACAAAGGTTTTTCATAGTTTTCGGCCTCTGGAGGCCCTCGCCGGGCCTCGGGGCCGTCAAAAAACGACTCGGGATGAAAAACCGGTCCCGGGGAAGTGGTCGGGAGGTTGGGGGCCCGTGTCTCGAAAAAATCGAGACGTCGGATGTCTGGGTACTTCGCCACCGGGTTCCTGTACAAGGCGTTCCTCTGCAAGCACATCGTTTTCAGCACCGCCTGATTCCGGGGCTCTGCCCTCTCCTGGCCTTGACGTGAGGCCCCTCCTGTTGCCTTTCCCCTCTGTTAATTCAAGCTGTTCGCGGCCCGCTTAGCTTCGACCGGAAGAGGTGCGCTCTCGACCCGCGGAAAAAAAATGTACCTCTCGGGCCGGACGCAAGGGGGGAATAGAGGGAAAGGGGGGTGACGAAGTTTGCTACGTGCAGCTGGTGTCGGCCCCCCCGAGCGGCCCATTCTTCGATACATGGCCGCCTCCGGCGCCGGGAGGCGCCGGGAAAATCAGCTACGTGAGCTGATTCTCAAACCCCCCTTTGCTATCCACCCCTTTCGCCCGGTTCTACCACTGCTGCTGGCGGAAAACCGGGGGGGGTCACTACCGGTTCGAACCCCTCCCCCCCCCCCTCCGGAAAACCGAGGGGGGTCACTACCGGTTCGAACCCCTCCCCCCCCCCAGCTATCATGAAAAGGGGGGGGGGTCACTACCGGTTCGAACCCCTCCCCCCCCCCCCTCGAAAACCGGGGGGGGTCACTACCGGTTCGAACCCCCCCCCCCTCGAAAACCGAGTGGGGGTGCGGACAGTGGTGGGGACGGTGTTGGTGGGGACAGTGGTGAGGGGATAGCGGGACAGTGGTGGGGACAGTGGGACAGTGGGACAGTGGTGGGGACGGTAGTGGTGGGGACAGTGGTGGGGACAATGGTGGGAACAGGGGGGGACAGTGGACAGTGGTGGTGACGGTGGTGGTGGGGACAGTGGTGTGGGGACAATGGGAATGAGGTGGAAACAGTGGGACAGTGGAGGGTACAATGGTGGTGGGGACAGTGGTGAAGGCGGTGGCGAGGACGGCGGTGGGACAATGGGACAAAGGTACAGTGGGGACAGTGGTGGGGACAGTGGGGACAGTGGTGGGAACAGTGGGACAGCTCAGTGGGACAGCGGAGGAGTCAGTGGGACAGTGGGGACAGTGGGGATAGTCGGGCAGTGGTTGGGGCCGTGGAGACAGTGGGGAGAGTGGAACCGTGGTGGGAACAGTTCTGGGGACAGCGGGGACAGTGCGACAGTGGTGGGGGCACTGGTGGGGACAGTAGGGGCGGTGGTGGAACCAGTGGGGACAGTGGTGGTGAGGACAGTGGTGCTGGGAACAACAGTGGGGGATGTGATGCGGACGGTGGTAGGGACCGGGAGTCGTTGCTGGCGGTGAGAATAGACAGTTAACTTTCCCTCCCTTTTTCTGCCTTTCTCCCTCTCCCCCCCCTTTTTTTTCTTCCTCCCCCCCTTTTTCCCCCCCCCTTCCTGGGGGGGGGGTCCCCGGGGGTCGAAAAACCGGTAGTGACCCCTCCCCACGCACGCACACACAGGCCCCCACCTGCCGATTCCCGAAGGGTAGGCGGGGCGAACGTAGTGAGCGCCGGTTCGAACCGGTAGTGACCTCCCCCCACGGCATACCCACATTCGGACCCCCCCCGGAGGGGGGGGGGGGGGGGGAGGGGTTCGAAACGGTAGTGACCCCCCCCGGTTTTCGAGCGGGAGGGATGGGGGGGGGGGGGATGGGTTTAGGGGAAGGGAAGGGGGTTTGCCGGCGGGAGAGGGGGGGGGGGAGGGGTTCCAGCAGGGCGGGGAGGGGGGATTTTCGGAGGGGGGGGGGCGACCCCCGGGCTCCGGAGGAAAAGGTTGGCAATTTTCCATAGTAAAGCGGCGGTGGATCACGCTCTCTCGAATATCGGGGGGTGGACAGAACCCCCATCCTAACACGTCGATTAGTGAATTGTCCATTTTCGGTTCTCGCGAGGGCGACGCGGCCATCATTTTCCAGGCTTGCGGCCGCCAGGTCTGTGCCCGAGGTCGTTTTCGCTCAACCACGCTTACTAAAGGGGATTCTGTCCATCCCCGAGTATACCCCCTGACCCTTAAGTCGTGCCTGTCCCTCTACAGGATGAATATTCCAAAATAGTAAATAATAGTCTGGGGACGATTTTTGTGACATTTTCTGGCTATTTGATTTTTTGTGGCCATTTTTGATTTGGCACCCAAAATCCGCTTGTAGGGCGACATGATCGACCTCACCTTACCCATCGGTCTTTAAGTAGGAAGTGGGAAGGCCTAGCGGCCGGTGCCGCCGCCCTTGAAGGGGACGGCGACGACGGCGGCGGCGGCAGCGGCGACGACGACGACGACGCTGACGCTCTGGAGCCTCTCTTGGGGCTCTCTTGGAAGCCACTTGGTCTCTGGTGGGGTTTCGGCTGAGGCCGGGGCTAGGGCCAGGGCCAGGGCTGGCAGCGGCATCGGTCGTTGAAACTAATTTTTTTTTGACTCCCAGATTCCAATCTACTTGACCAAGCGCTCTCCTACTTCCATGATCGAGTGGCTTCGCATTTTTTGTCCGCCCTCCTTGCGGGGCGGACGGGGCCCAATTTCCTTGCAACGCCTTCCTACTTCATGTTTCTGCCCACTTCTTCTGACCGATGGGCAATTCCGTCTTCGGCGTCGGTTCGCGTCGATCGGCGTCTGGGGGTCGATGAGCTGGCGCCGGTTTGGCGCCGGCGGGCGCCGACGAGCGCCGAATTCTGCGTCGAACAGCGCCGGCTCGCGAGAGCCAAGGGGGATGGTATGGGAGGCTCCCGCGAGTTGCCACCGAGCCCTGCTCGGGCTGCTGCCCTCGCTCATGTTCGAGCACGCCACGCTCACGCGGCTCGTGGAGTTCCTGCAGGCCGCCCTGGCTGCCGGCCGTCCGCACGGAGCACCCGGCGCGCCCGACGTGGCCGCCGGCCCGCAGCCGGGGCCGCGCCGTGGGGGGGCGCAGGCTCGGGGCCCGTGGGTGTTGCCAGGAGTGCCCCTGGCCCAAGGATTCCTCCTCCTCCTCCTCCTCCTCCTCCTCCTCCTCCTCCTCCTCCTCCTCCTACCCCCCAGGACTTCCCAGGAGGCCTCCGTGGCCTCTGGAGCACCCCTCACGAGGCCCAGAGGGCCCCGGGGGGGCTCAGCACCGAGCGAAAGGCTGGGGACGCCCTGGGCCAGGGGCACCTTTATAGCAAACCCCGACCAGGGGGTGAAGGCTCGACCCCCGATGGCCCATCCATCGCCGGCAGAGGCCCGATATCCCACCTCTGAGGAGGTCCTTCTCGTGGCCTTCGGGCCACCACTCGGGCCTCCGGCGGTTGTTCGGAACGATCCGGACCCCCCCCCGGAGCGCTCTCGTTCGGGAAGATCGGTCAGCCACGCGCAGAGGGGGGTGGGGGGAGGGCTTCTTGAAAGCACCCCTGCTTCTTCGAAGGCGCGGGCCTTCTCTATGGATGTAAGGCCGGCGCCTTCTAAGAAGCAGCTTGCTTCTAAGAAGCCCTCCCCCCTCCCCCCACCCCCTTGTGCGCGCCGCCAAATCGGGCAGCCTCTGGGAGGCATCCCGAGGCCGGGCAGCCGCCCAGAGCCGACGCAGACGTTCGAAAGCCTCGAGCCTCAAGCCTCGAGGTTTCTCCCCCCCCCCCTCGAGCTGGTCCCCCCCTGACGTTGCCCCTCACAGCTCGGGCGGTCGTTGCCGCGGGGGGCCGTCCAGACAGCGACTCGGGAGCAAGGTTTAAGTCGGGCTTGTCCCTCTACAGGAGGGATGTTCAACAATAGTAAAGCAATAGTCTGGGGACGATTTTTCGAGAATCTGTATCAATTTTTGAATATTTGTTGACTATTTTTGATTTTTCGTCCAAAATCCGCCTGTAGGAGGGCATGCCCGACCTAAGAATGGGTCGATGCTTCCGGGGGCCGACGTCGTGAAGAAGTCATGACGTCGTGGGCGAAGGGCGAAGAGAGGGGCCCTGGAGGGGCTCTCTAGGGTCCCTGCAGGGGCCCGCAAGCCCCCCCCGAAAGGGGCCCTCAAGTGTTCCTTTACCGCCCCTCAAGGGATGGGCCTGGCTTCCACCACCACCACCCTAAGTTTGAGGGGGAAGAAGGAGGACGAGGAGGAGGAGGAGGACGAAGAGGAGGAGGAGGTGGTGGAGGAGAAGGAGGAGGAGGAGGAGGTGGTGGTGGAGGAGGAGGAGGAGAGGAAGGAGGAGGAGGGAGGAGGAGGAGTGGGATGAGGAAGGAGGAGGAGGAGGAGGAGGAGGAGGAGTGAGGGAGGAGGACAGGGAGGCAAAACGCCAGGTGACACGCCAGGGAGGAGGAGGACCCCCTCACCCTCCAACTTCTGGTGGCGGTGGTGGTGGAAAGGAGGCCCATGATCAAGGGGGGGGCGACGACGGGGGCCCGAAAGGGTTTCTTCGGGGCCCCTCTCTTCACCACCCCTTTGCAGTGGAAGCCCCTGCCAAGACACATCCTGTCTGTCTGCCTCCAGGGTGCCCTGGGTTTCCCGGGTTTCGGCGGCTCTGCTGCGGGACGCCGGGCGTCCCCCCGCGCCAGTAGTCCATTGGGCGTCCTGGGGTTCCAGGGCTGGGTTTCTTGTGGGAGGTTCTCTCTGGACGAGCTGGACGAGTTCCTGCTCCTTCCCGCATCCTGAGCCCACTCGACCAGGGGGAGGTGGAGGAGGCAGGAGGAGGAGGAGAAGGGAGGAGGAGGAAGGAGGAGGAGGAGGAGGAGGAGGAGGAGGAGGAGGAGCGAGGTGGAGGGAAGAGGGAGGAGGAGGAGAGAGGTAGGAGGGGCAGAGGAGGAGGAGGAGGAGGAAGAGGGGGAGTAGGTAGGAGGATGAGGAGGAGGAGGAGGAGGAGGAGGAGGAGCAGCAGCGAGGAGCAGCGAGGACACCGCGCCGACCCCGATGCATGGCGCTTGCCAGGCGGCCCTGGGCGTCTGCGAGGCAGCCCTGCCCTGTCTTCGATCCCTCCCCTGGGCGCGCCTGCGGAGCAGCTTCGCTCTGCCGGGGGGGCCACTGCGGGGCACACTCCCCCCCTCACCGACGACCGCCCGAGCGGCAGCGTGCCCGCGAGATCCGCCACGTGGTGTCCCTCGGCACGGTGTGCAGGAGGAGAAAAAAAACACACAGACACAATGAATCGTCGATTCCCCAGAGAATAGGGGAACATATGGGAAGTGGGGGGGAAGACTGAAGCCCAGAAAACATGGGAGAATATGGGGAATCCTGTTATTTGTGTGTATTTATTTGTGTGTCCCAGGGCCCCTTCAGGTGTGCATGGCGGCGCAGACGATGGAGGCCTGCGGCCTGCGGCGCTGGCCGGGGCCCTTCGACTGGGTCTTCTGCGACCCAGCCATGGTGGCGCATTGCTTGGAGGACAGCTCTGCGCCTTCCCCGCAGCCTCGGGGAAGGGAAGGAACGGAGCAGGAGGAGGAGCAGGAGGAGGAGGAGGAGGCGGAGGAGGCGGAGGAGGAGGAGGAGGAGGAGGAGGAGGAGGAGGAGGAGGAGGAGGAGGAGGAGGAGGAAGAGCAGGAGGAGGAGGTGGGGGCGGTAGGAGGGATGAGGTGGAGCGGAGGAGGTGGAGGAGGAGGAGGAGGAGGTGGAGACCATGTAAACTCAAGAGTCATCATCGATATTGAGATATCCCTCCACTCCAGGCTCGCTCTTCATAGGATCCTACATCGGTTCATTCCTCCTACATCGGTTCATCTTCACTGAGGGAGCTGCTTTTTGTTTATTTATTATTCTTTTTTTATAGTCTTTTGTTTTTTTTTATTTGTTTTTTTAGTGAGTGTTTGGATGCTTTTTTCGTTTGTTATTTTTGCTTGTTGATTTTTTGCTTCGTCGGAAGACAAACGTTTGACGATTCTGAAGCATGCCAAAACATTGCTCTCGGAATTCCAACGCCACGGATCAACCTGACTGTTGCGTCTTGACGAGCCTGAATCGTGCCAGAACGCCAGTCCTGGGACTTCGACACCGCGAATCAACGTAACGGTTGCGCCCGCATAGTCCTGAATCTCTCCGAAACGCAATTTCTGGTACGCTGACCATGGGAATCCGCGAAACATTGATCAATGTCATACACGAATGTGCGCGGCGCTAAGGCGAGAGCCACATTTTGAACAGGAGCCGCCCTCAAGCCGTGAAGCTGTTGCAAACTTGTAAAACGAATATGTGCGGCGCTAAGGCGAGAGTCACATGTTGAAAACTACCCGCCCTCAATCCGCGACGCTCTTGCGAACTTGTAAAACGAATGAGCGTGGCGCTAAGGCGAGAGCCACATATTGGAAAGGAACCGCCCTCGATCCGTGAAGCTCTTGCAATGGTTTAAATGAACGTGCGCGGCGCCAAGGCGAGAGCCACGTTTTGAAAACCAGTAGCCCTCAATCCGTGACGCTCTTGCAATAAAAAAAAAAAACGACTGAGCGCGGCGCTCAGGCGAGAGCCACATTTTCAAGATTCAGGGTCATACGTGGTGAGGAAGTTTCAGGCGAAACGCCTGGCCCGCCCTGAAAAGTGGCCTCGGGGTGCGACAGGGAGGAGTTTGTTGTAAGGAATCAGACATGGAGGAGGAGAGGGAGGAGAGGGAGGAGGAGGAGGAGGAGGAGGAGGATTGAAGTGTATCGCTGATGCTCTTCAGGGCAGGCGTAACCCTGTCGAGTCGAACGGGCACATGGGCTCTCCAATCCGTGGAGCGGCACTGCCTTGAGGACACCTTTGCGTCTTTCCTGCAGCCTCGAGGAAGAGACGGAAGAGGCAGGAGGAGGAGAAGGAGGAGGAGAAGGAGGAGG